CATCGTTGGTCCTTCGAGCCGGATGGTCCGCTCGGCTCATCCGGAGATCTCGAGCACCGCATAACGCCATCGAGACGAAGCAGCAAGCGCCTGCCCTGATTGCCTGCCACGATCTCCCGATCCTTCCACAAGGATCGCTACAGCCCGACCACCAAGCCGAGACGCAGAGCCGGCGGCCAGCAGCCTTCCTCCTCGGCCTGCGGGACATACAATCGTGCCCCGAGGAGGACACACCTCAGCCAAGGCGCCAAGCGGCGGTGGAATCGCCAGGGCAGCGCCCGTCGCCGTCGTACAACCGAAGGCAGTTCATCGGCACAATCGGCGGCCATCTTATCAAGGAACGAGGGACGGCCATCTTATCGAGGCACAAAGGACGGTCATCTCATCGAGGCAGCGTTCCGCAGTCCACGAGCGTCGTCCAGCGCCACCATCTACATCTAGTGACGACAAGACCGATCTTCATCGTGCGTCGTCAACCGCCATTGGTCAGCATCATTCCACAACTCGCGCGCAGGACGAATCGCGCTGCGAGCCATTGGGAAGCGCGTTCCAGACCCACGCGCGTAACACAGGTAAGGGTTATTGTTCAAGCCCGTGCTACCGACTAGAGTCATTGGTTAATCCACGTCATAATGGCGAGTGAACAAGACGCGGCCGCCCTTAAGAAACGGCGTACCACTATTAAGGCTTCGTGCACACGCACCAGTACGTACGTTCAGGCAGTAACTTCTATCTCACCTTCCATCAGAGCGCAGCTCAAAGAACGGAAGGCTAAATTAGATATTCATTGGTTAGAATACGATGCCGTACAGTCTAAAATAGAATCTTTGATGGAGAGCGAGGCCAGCGATCGCGTAACCTTTGAGGACAATTATTACGCATTAAGCAGCAAGATCACAGAGATGCTTGAATCTTCGAATCCTCCGCCGCGAATCCCGGCTTCAGGGAGCCCGGCTTCAGAAGGCTCGGCTTTAGCGACTCCGCCGGCTTCCCCTTCGGTTAACGTTTTCGATTCTAGGGCCAATATTCGGTTGCCAAAACTAAACTTGCCCAAATTTACAGGCAAATACGAGGAATGGTTCCCATTCTTCGACGCGTTTCAATCTATTATTCACGCGAACGATTCTATTACCGGCATTGAAAAATTACAATACTTGCGTGGATGCCTTTCGGGCGAAGCAAGCGACGTTATTAGTTCACTCGAAATCTCGGAGGTGAACTACGAAGTAGCGTGGCAGTTATTGAAACAACGATACGACAACAAGCGAGTCATCGTTCAAACCCACGTTAAGGCAATCATAGAACTCCCTTCTCTCACGAAGGAAAACGCAAACGAGCTACGCGCAATATCGGATGGCGCGACTAAACATATTCACGCCCTTCAGGCGTTGAAACGTCCCACTGATAAGTGGGACGACGTATTAACTTGCTTGTTGAGCGCGAAACTGGACACGGCCACGTCTCGTGAGTGGCAAACGTCTTTAACGGGCACTGAACCCCCCACCTTAAAACAGCTACTCGATTTCATTGCGCATAAGAGTCAAGTATTAGAAACCACGAGTAAATCATCGAAAGTGACAGGCAATTCTCCAATCACGACCCGTTCCAAGTCTAATCCTAAACACCCAGCTTCTTGTCACGCTGCAGTCAAGTACAAATGTAGCTTTTGCAGTGGTGAACATTCCATTTATCGTTGCAGGGAATTTTTGGCACTTTCAGTTCCGCGTAGGATCACTGAAGTGCGCAAGCGAAAACTTTGCGGCAATTGCCTAAGATGCAGTACCCACGCGGCCAATCAATGCACATCGGGGACTTGCAAAACGTGTGCTGCCAAGCATAATTCTCTCCTTCACGTGGCAAATGGCTCGGAGCCTGACGATTCCAATGCAAGTAAGGAAGTTACTGAAGCCAAGGCTTCCTCCGCGATAGTCACACACACGTTGAATCATTCGAGAGATAATCACATCATGTTATCGACCGCGGTCGTAAACGTTAATGACAGTCAGGGCACGCCGGTCAAGTGTCGTGTTTTATTAGACTGCGGTTCCCAAGCCAACTTCATATCTAAAGGATTATTAAACGTTCTTGGTTTAAGGTCTCAGAATCAAAGCGTAGTTATTTCCGGGGTCAACGGCTCCTGCACGAGCTCATCTCAAGTGGTCGATTTAAGGATACATTCCGTGATTAATTCTTACTTCGCCGACATTACTTGCATTGTAACCGATCAAGTCACAAATAAATTACCCGCGTTCAACTTGAAACGTGATAGATTCGATATTCCTCGAAATATCACTCTAGCCGATCCCAATTTCCACAAGCCCGCGGACATAGACATCCTACTTGGTGCCGAGTTGTTTTGGGAGCTGTTATGCGTCGGTCAAATCCAAGCTTCCCACAAACATCCTACGTTACAGAAAACTCGCTTGGGATGGATATTAGCGGGTCGCTTAAACAATTACTCAACGTCATCTAAACGCGTCCATGCATTGCACGCGCGTATATCTAACGCTCAGTTGCACGAGCAATTAGGCCACTTTTGGCAACAAGAAGAAGTCGCGAACGAGACAACTCCTTTTACTGCTGAGGAATCTTACTGCGAAAAACAATTTTTGGAGACTGTATCTCGGACACCACAGGGCCGATTTATAGTGCAGCTTCCGCTCAAGGAAAATCTCGCTAACGGTTTAGGAGAATCGAAAGAAATCGCTCTAAGGCGACTATTGAATCTCGAGAAACGTTTCAACCGCGATTCGTTTTTGAAGGGGCGGTACGAAGAGTTCTTGCGCGAATACGAGTCTCTGAATCACATGAGAAAATTAGACGTCTCACCAAGCGAGGATTCAACGCCGTTCTACTTACCCCACCATGGCGTATATAAAAATGCCGACAAACCAGACAAGCTCCGGGTCGTCTTTGATGCATCCTGTAAGACCCGCTCGGGTTTATCACTCAACGACATCTTGATGGTGGGACCGGTCGTTCAACAAGACTTGGCCTCAATCCTGATGCGCTTCCGAACGTTTGCCTACGTTTTTACTGCTGACATAGTAAAAATGTACCGGCAAATATTGGTAACCCCATCACAGACGCATCTACAAAGAATTTTGTGGAGAGACAACACCGACTCGGACGTAAATACATACGAGTTATTAACCGTCACTTACGGCACATCCTCTGCTTCCTTTTTAGCAACCAGATGTCTAAAGCACTTGGCCGAATTGTACAGAACGGAATTCCCGGTGGGATCCAAGCACGTCGCACGCGACTTTTACGTGGACGATCTCCTCACCGGGGCGGATACTATCGAAGAGGCTAAACAAATACGGGACGAAATAGTAAAACTCCTACGCTTAGGAGCCTTTCAGCTTGGCAAGTGGGCTTCAAACTTTCCATCCTTAGTGAAAGACATGGACAATCCACCTTTCAACACGGTCGTCATAACGGAGAACTCTGAGTCGCAAATCTTGGGAATCCGATGGGACCAAACACGAGATATTCTGCAATTTTCATACAAGACTCAAGGCCATTCAAACGTCGTAAACAAACGCAGCATACTATCCGAAGTAGCCAAGCTGTTCGACCCACTTGGCCTTCTCGGCCCGATAATTGCCAACGCCAAACTAATTCTTCAGGAGCTTTGGCAGTCAGGTGTGGAGTGGGACGAATCAGTGCCGCAGCATATTCATTCCCGCTGGATAACCTTCAAGCAAGGTCTATCCGAATTAAATCAAATACAAGTTCCGAGACGCGTCAAATTCGCAAGCGCACCCCAGTCAATTCAACTACACGGATTCTGTGACGCAAGTCAGCGGGCTTACGGTGCCTGCTTTTATATTCGCACCTGCGAAGCCGCCGGGGATTGTCGCACCGAGCTATTGTGCTCTAAGTCTCGAGTAGCTCCTTTAAAGGCGATCACACTGCCCAGGTTGGAATTGTGCGCAGCAGTACTCCTGGCACGACTCTTAAAGAAGATCATGGAATCCTTCGACTGGCC